TACTATTTATCGATATATAACCTTAATAAAATCATTTAAATTTATTTAATACATAATGATAATAATAATAATAAATACAATTTTATTTTTTAAATACGTATATACATTTATTTATTAGAATAGCAAAATTTTACAAATTACAATTATGGTTTACAAATATATGCCTCCACCATTCAACAACTACAACTATATCGTGCATATGTTGACAACAATGGTATATCACCTCTACAAATTTGTAACGCAACATTTATATCACACCCTTTCTGATCATTCTGGTGAAGTTATTGAACCTGGAAAAAAAAGAATAGCAAGAGATAAAAAAACGAATGAAGAACAAAGAAACTGAACTGGTACTTATCTTTGTACCAGTTTCCGGTTCTGAATCTTCAATCCCGATCTTCATTCCGGCGAAGTCATTGAAGCTGGAAAAAAAAAAAGAAGTACCGGTAATAGCAAGAGACAAAAAAATGAATGAAGAACAAAGAAACTGAACTGGTACTTACCTTTATACTAGTTCCTGGTTCTGAATCTTCAATCCCGATCTCCATTCCAGTGAAGTCATTGAAGCTGGAAAAAAAAAAAAAGAAGTACCGGTAACAGCAAGAGATGAAAAAATGAACAAAAAACAAAGAAACTGAACTGGTACTTACCTTTATACCAGTTTTTGGTTTCGAATCTTCAATCCCAATCTCCATTTTGGCAAAGTTATTGAAGCTAGAAAAAAAAAAAATAGAAGTACTGATAACAGCAAGAGACGAAAAAACGAACAAAGAACAAAGAAACTAAACTGGTACTTACCTTTATACCAGTTCTCAGTTCCGAATCTTCAATCCCGATCTCCATTCTGGCAAAGTTATTGAAGCTGAAAAAAAAAAGTACTGGTAACAGCAAAAGACGAAAAAATGAATAAAGAACAAAGAAACTGAACTGGTACTTACCTTTATACCAGTTCCTGGTTCCGAATCTTCAATCCCGATCTCCATTCTGGCGAAGTTATTGAAGCTGAAAAAAAAAAGAAGTACCAGTAACAGCAAAAGACAAAAAAACAAATGAAGAACAAAGAAACTGAACTGGTGCTTACCTTTATACCAGTTTCCAGTTCCGAATCTTCAATCCGATCTCAATTCCGGCGAAGTCATTGAAGCTGAAAAAAAAAAGAAGTACCGGTAACAGCAAGAAACAAAAAAACAAACAAAGAACAAAGAAACTGAACTGGTACTTACCTTTATACCAGTTCCTGGTTCCGAATCTTCAACCCCAATCTCTATTTTGGCGAAGTTATTAAAGCTGGAAAAAAAAAAAAGTACCGGTAATAGCAAGAGACAAAAAAATAAACAAAGAACAAAAAAACTGAACTGGTACTTACCTTTATACCAGTTCCCAGTTCCAAGTCGAGCAATCCCGATCTCCATTCTGGCAAAGTTATTAAACCTGGAAAAAAAAAAAAAGTACCAGTAACAGCAAGAGACGAAAAAACGAATGAAGAACAAAGAAACTGAACTGGTACTTACCTTTATACCAGTTCCCGGTTCCAAATCTTCAATCCCGATCTCCATTTCAGCAAAGTTATTGAACCTGAAGAAAAAGAAGCATTAGCAAGCAAATGCAAAATAAGAAGAATAAAGAAAAAAAAAAACTGGTGTAAAATACAAAAGTTAATAAAAACATTAGAATAAACATAAAGTTGTAAAGATTATCACCATCTGATCTTTGTATTATCATGTGTCTTCACAAAACTACCGTTTTTACTTTGCACGAGATAAATTAGACTTTTTTTTTTAATATATAATAGCAACTAAACCGTTTTATATCGATCTAAACAAACTCGACCAATTAATATATAACGATTTATAACTATTTTCGAATTATATCGATTTTAGATATATATCGCTTTTTAACTGTTTTATCGATATATACCATTATTTTTTAATCGATATAAACCGATTAATGGTTAAATATCGATTAATATCTGCTTAAAAATTTTGCTGATGCGTTTAGTTGGCTAAGTTGAAACTAATCGATTAATCAATTAATTATTATTCGATTAGTTGCTTTTACACTAATTAGCTTTTTAATAAAATTTTTATCAGATTTATATTCATAAAATTAGGTCAACTAAACAACTAATCGGTTAATCGATTAATCAACTAATCGATTAATTGATTGGTTAAGCAGTAATCGATTTGTAATCGATTTTTGCTCTGATTCATAACACTACCTGGAGCAAAACCTTGATGCACCATATGGAGTGGCTTGGAACAGCATAGTGGTCTTTTAAATCCAATTGATTAATTACTGAAATGTATCGTCACATATACACCGCATATATTATCTGACTTTGAACGAAATGTCCAGAAGGACCGAATATATATTCAGAAACTACACCTTTCGCTCTATATACTCTCAAAATAATCACGAAAATGGAGGAATAATTAAGAGAGTTAGTTATAGAGCGTTTTTATAGGTCTATTAGCCAACCGGAATGAGCCGCCTATGCTTATATAAAGTAATCTGGAGCAAAGCCCGGGTTGCTCCATATGGAGTGGTCTGGAGCAAAATTATTCTTATAACCCGGAACATTAACCCAGAGCGTTAACCTGGAGTACTAACCTAGAGCACAACCCGGAGTACAATCTGGAGTGTTAATTTAATATAACCCGGGTTGGTCTGCTCCATCTAATTTTAACCCAACCCACTCCATTAACAACCCTATCTAGATGCATCTTAGTAAAGTGTTCATTAAATTGCATGCCATCTTTCGGTCTAAAGCAAATAAAAGTAAATGTATCTCACTAAGTGCAAGTCTTTGCAATTGTTTACTAATGGTCCTGGAGGAATGTACTTAATTGTCGACATTATTTTACTAATTTTATTATAAATGCTTTTTAATCATTAATATATCAATAATTATTGTCAATGTAGAATTATCAAATATATCCTTTACTATATATAATATACATTACGCTGAAAAATCATTTTTCGGATTTTTTGAATTCATAAAAGTGAGGCCTAAATAAAGTAAAATTTTTTTAATGCCGCGTAAAATTTTGCAAGAAAAAAAAAAAAGTAAAGATGCTTAACGCTAGCTCTGCCAACCAGGCCGGATCGATCACTGTGAGATCGCGCATAAAAGCCTTTGTTGTTTCTACAACTAAGTAATAATCGATATGTGAGATTTAACTTTATACATCGCCGAAATCAACCATCGAAAATACATGATTTATTACCTTCATGAAAAATGACCCATGAGGCATTCCGCGTAAAAAGAACTGAAGATGGATGAACATACAAAATCTTAAAAATGAAATGAAATAAAATTTATTATAACATTAAATTCAACTGAAAACAAGAAGTTAATATTTAATAAGACGTACAACATTATCCCTAATAGTCCTAAAAGACCCATCTGGCATCATTTTGGCAGCCTGAGAAAAGTAACCACTAATAAGACATTTTCTTATTTTAACAGTATCATTACCACACGACTCTATTGGTACTTCGAATCTGTCAAGAAATTTTTTTAATTGTTGACGAATGGATAATGCTCGCGAAAGCGCGCGAAAATTTAAGCAGTGTTCATGACACCATCTCGCTGATTTCTTTCCACGAGTGATAAAAGCATTGAATACTTTGCAAAATAAGGATCACAATAATTTAAATCGATAAGGTTCGATATTAAGTAAAAATAAACTTTTCATAGTATTAAATAAACTAACCATTCAATAATGTTATATGATCTCCTTCTTCTACTGTAAACTTCCTTTTCTCCTCATTCACATCAATTTCTGAATTTGAAGGAATTATAAATACATCCTAGGTAAAATTAAATAATTGAAGCTGTATTTAAAATACACATTTAGACTCATTTATCTC